CACAGCACTCTACCCAGCGGGAAAGCTTGAGGCTCTGTCTCAAAAAAAAAAAAAGAGAAATTAAGTAGAAGTTTTCAAAGCCCCTTTCAAAACTTTAATAACTTGTTTCGTGCAGTATCAGTATATCATTTAATGATTGAATAAACTTTATGAGGAAATAGTGGGCATCAATAAATGTCATCTTACACTTTATCTCTTGTTTCATGTCAAAATTATATATTTGGCCTATACAGAAAAAGAGATTTTGGGAGGGTATAAGAAAAAACATTTTGAAATGGATTTCATACCTTCCTCAGAAGTAGAATGCATTAATCCTTCTTCTGATGTTCCTGAACAGCAATACTCATCAGGAACTTCCTGTTCTCCATTATTGGGAGAATTTTTCCATTTAAATAAACTTTGGTGTCTTTTATCCAAGTTAGGACTTGCTGTCGTGTCATAGAATGAGGAAGATGCACATGTTTTGTTGACTGCGACCATTTTCGAATCCTTTTCTATCTGTATTTTTACCCTCTCAGCATCATTATTTTCTCCATAGTAATTTTCTTGCACAGTGTTTGTTTCCATAGTGCTTAGAATTTCATTTTCCTTACTAATTTCATGAAACATGTGAAGTTCTGCAAGTACTAAATCAAATTTACTCTTCATCTCAAAAGCATTTACTATTGTCAGAGCTTCTGTGGATAAACATTGAGCAGTTAAATCCTGTAAACATTCATTGTTCCCTTCACTCAAACTAGTTTCAAACTGATGATTAACATACAATGGAGAGTTATTCTTCAGATGACAATGCTTTAAATTAGCTAACTCACTTTCTTCCAAAATACTATCGTATTCGTTTCTGTCAGCTATGTAATTTTGAATGACATACTTAGTTTCTTCCACATTTATTTTCTTATTTGTTAATGAAACTGACTGTAAAGAAAACATGCCATCCATCTGAAAAAAACTATCTTTCTCTTCCTTTTTTCTCTTAACATCTTTGCGAATAGGGTCACTATTTGTTAAACTTTGTGCCGTGACTTTTACTTCATCCTTTAAAAGTAAGTCATATTTTTTTCCCTCTGTTTCACTTAGTAAATTTTCAAAATTTAGCCTCTGAGATATTGTCATGGTATTAGTCTGTTCACTATGTGTTATGTCATTGCTTGCTGGTGTAAGCTGTTGCCTAACATTGTAGAAATCTTTCAATATGCACTTAGAATTATAGCTTCTGAACTTATTATATTCCTGTTTTCCTTCAGTATCTGAGACTTGGTTGTGCATATTTACTTCACAATTTTTTTCATTAAAATATCCATGGTTGTTCTGCATAATTTGAGGACCAGACCTAAGATGTATTTTAACATTGTCAGAACAACAGTGAGCCCAATTTTCCACATTTATGGGTTGCTCCGAACACATCATAGTACCATCAGTAATTTCTTTTATCAGAGACATTTCTTCTATATCATCAAAATCCATTAAAAGAGGAATTTTTTCATACGTTTCAAAATTTGGAAAATGAATATTTTTAGCTATCCTACTGAAGGAATTGATTTTCTTTTTCTTAGACCCTTCAAAAATTTTAGTGTCAAATAGCTTTCTTTTCTTTGGCATAGATTTCATCTTATCTTCTAATAGTCTGGCAGAAGTTAAAATCTTTACTGGATATGCAGTTTGATTTTCCACTGAACTATTTTTTGGATCATTTAAATACACTATCCATTTGAAAATGCATTTCCCTTCTAATTCAAAGTCATTTTCAATTCTCGTGAAAAAGTCAAAGTTATTGAGCAAAAAAAATATGTTGGTTTTCAACATGATATTTAAAAGTTCTGAAAAACTGGCACCTGAATATTTGCTTAAAATGCCACTCTCTACATTGACATTCATATTTCTGATTATTAAGCTTTGAACACCAATTAACTTTTTGCACTTCAAAATTTTATACCAGGTTAAAATACTATTATCTTTTTCATTTCCTAAAATACTTTGACAGAAATGAAACATGTCTGTAATGAAACTTTCAAAAATGTTGCTTAAATGAAAGTTTTTGTGCATATTATATCTCATTGTCAGCATGTTATCATTTTCTCCTTTACCACTTGACCAAATAATTTTTATAAAAGCTTTTTGATTTCCCAGCAGTCCCAGTAAAAAAAGCTTTGATTTTCTTACATTCCCAACTTCCGTGCAGTGAAAATCTTTGTTGCTTGAAAGGTCTGTTTCTAATAATGTTAGGAAATTCAATTTATCTCCAGTTTTTTTCAAATTTTCACAGTTACTCTTACAATTATTTGTAAACCAACAATTTTCCCTGTTTTGTCTCAAAATGTGTCTAATGTTACAGCCCCAGCTTTGAGATTTTTCCAGCTTGGTAGGTATGTAACGGTCCCAGCATGTTTCTCCTCCTTCCCAATTTGTATATTCTGGTGTTAAAATGAAATTCTTGTTAAAATCTTTTACATCACACTTAATACTACAGGAGTTATAGTATTTTGAACTGATCAAGTCTTTTTTTCTCACGCAAGTATTTTGGCTTCCGAATGATGGGTGGTTACTTTCATAACATTCAGAAAAAATATTTTTTGCATCTACAATTTTTTTATCATCTTGTAACTTTCGCTTCTTAACATCAGGTCTATTTTGGGAACAGTAAATGTTTGTGAAATCCCTAACATATGCCTCGTTTTTGTCATTCTTTTTCTTTGCTGTTTCCTTTAAATAGACAGAGGACATTTTGCTATTTAAATCTGTTGGAAACTCAGGGACACTTATTGTGCTGCTATCTCTAAAATAGCTGGGTTTAGCAATTTTGAAGCTGGGCTGCTTTTGAGATTTTGATATTTTTAGTATGGATGATGAAACGTTATTTTCATTTTTATTTGATGGCATAACACTGTCAGCTTTACATCTGTTCTTAAGTTCATGAAATGTTGATTTCGTTTCCTTGTAAAAGGTAACGTCTAAAAATGGATTTTCCGTATGTCTTATGTAACTATTATCTTTTTGAACACTGTCTCTTCCTTGGACCGAAAGCTGTTTTCCGTCCCCGTGTTTAACTCCCTGTGTATCGTGTAGGGAGGTGTTGGGCAGAAGCTGACCAACTTTTGCCTTAGAGCTGTCACCACCGTGGCCCCTAAAAATCTCTCTGTCATGAAGTTCTGGTTCAGAAGCCCTTCCTGAGGCCCTTAAATCAGCATCGAAACTTCGGGAGGGGGGAAACTGCAAACACCTGTCCAGTTGGGCTTTGCGTTTTGGGCACGCCGGAGTACGGATCTGCTCCCTACTGACTGATTTCTCCACACAGGAATCTGTGGAGTTATCAAAAAAAGCATTCCTCGAAACAAGGAGCAGCGTCAAGGGTCTGGACACTAACTCCCAGAGTTTTTCCCTCTCAGACAGTCGAGGCACCAAAGGGAGCCGCCACTCC